CGCTACTACGGCGATTAACCGCTAAGCTGTCGATTGAACTGGGTAATTCGGTTGTCACGGCGCCTACGCCGTCCTCTTCGTCATTTTGTACGCGCTTCGCGGTCGATTTTCCCTCTGGTTTCCGCGCGAAAAACCCTGCAACTTTGCTGATATCGATTTGACTTACCGAAGAAAAACTTCGATTTTCAATTTCATTTGCAATTCGAACGTGAAATTTTCTCGAAAGAACATTTTTTTCTAACCAGTCGAAAGGAACGCTTTCTCGAGCGTATTCTCAGCACGCTCTCCAGCTCGTCCCTCTTTTATCCCCTTTCAACGAGAACAACGTTACACGAAGACAAGGGAGAAGCAAGAGAGGGATGACATTAAACGCACCTTCGTCCTCTTATCCGATCACTGTACTCGCTACTCGCAACGTAATACAATAGGGAAACGAGCCTAACTCGTTCGAATCATCTGAACAACAGGTGCACGTACGACCACGAGTTTGGTTAAAGTGAAGCAAAGAAGAGATCCCGACGATCGTACACAGAGAGGAAAAGTAAAAAACAAAAAAAACAAGTGCTTACTGGACGATCGTTTTACGTTTATCGTACCACATGCATGATCAAAAAATCGAAAGAATATATTCATCGGACGAACCATTTTCTTATCTAATTCGTTTGAAACCGCTTCGAGAACGATCCGGGATATTACCGAAGACAAAAAGCTAACGACGAAAATATTCTCGTTTAATCAACGTTCTTTCCCCCCTTTATTTACCTATTTCACTCTGATATTCCATCAAAAAATTCTCCCAATCATTCGAAATCTTCAAACGGATGCCGTTTGAACGACCACGCGAGTTTCGCTACTTAGATGAAGCAGATCTTGCTGAAAGTAGCTTCTTCGAGGCGATTCTGGCGTTGCGAATGGTCGATTACGTGAACTCCGATCGATGTTCTATCGCGAAAAAAACACTTCGTGATCGGAGGAAACCGCTACACGATTCACTCGAACGATCGATACTTTTCTTCTTTTAATTTCTCTTCCGTTGCTTCTAGTTATCTGCTGTTGGATTCTTCGGGCTGCAACGATGTAAAAGGGGCGAGAAGACGACGAGAAGTTCCGGGTTTCTGACTAGATCGACTTGGTAAAGGTGCAACGCGACGAGTTTACTCGTCTATCAAGAGGTGGACGATCGAAGATAACCTCGGGTTAAGTTGTTTGAGCGTGTTGCAGCATAATACGGGCTTAATTATGTAAATTGAATTTCGCGGCTCGGCGATTTGCAAGCTTCGCGAACGGGGAATTTGTTTCTTGTCAAAAGGAAAGTTACGCTACGAGATACAATGCGTACAACTCGAGGTGGAAACGGAAACGCGACGAAATTACACGAGAGACTTCGAACAACTTCGGAAGTAATTGAAGAAAATTTCCAAAGTTTCTATTCTAACGGAAAGAGTAATATCGACAAGTTTCTAAGTTCAATCGATAAGAGACACTGAGAAAGGATTCAACAGAGACTTAGTCAGGATGCTTGGAAATCGTCGAAATACGCGGCAACAACTACAACTTCCGGTAGACGTTTTAAGGAATGTGAGAGAACCTCGTTAAGATCGTAGAACAATTAACGCTACTACACACTAAAACTGTACTGCATGTATAATACTAGAAGAGAGTGTTACACTAACACGAGACACCGGAGAAATGGGACTTTCATTTTTCGCGTTCGAATAATTCATCTCTTTCTCCCTTTCGTATTGGAAACAACGACTTTCAGCAAAATCCGATGCGGGCAAAGCGAGACACGTCCCTCCGCGTTCTAACAACCTTTTCTCTTATTCAAATAGATTCTTCCCCTTGATCTCTTGTTTTCAATTCTCCCCGAATTTAATTGCTCCTTCCACCTTTTTCTTTCTTTCCTTCTTCTCCTCGGTTAACACCTTTTTTTCTCCCTCGGTTTTTCGTTCAATATAAGAAACAACATCGTGAATAACGCGCGCGGGCGAGCGTGTGCCGTTCTCGAGACTCCATCAACAACACACTTCGTCAACTCACTCTCATACTCAACTTTCCAAATCGATATTAGGATTATCTAAAACGGTATATCGTATTTTACTTTACTTTTGTTATTTATTTTATTCTTCCGTCAGCGCTCCCGATCACCTTAACGATTCGTAAACTCGTATTTATAAATGTGTATAATAAAGATCGTTACGCGCTATTACTTATATTCCTCTTCATCTCCTCCCTTTTCCTCTCCCCCCTCTATTTTTCTTTTCTCTCGTTACATGGATATATTCCGTCCCTCTTCTCATCTTCCCTCTTTTCCCGGTTGCTGGTTTCTTCCTTTTTGGAAATCGTACCTCCTGTCCGTGGGCTTACTCGTTCCTCTTCGGAGATCCATTCGTACTGTCAATTAAGAATACCTTTTATCGTAGGAAAAAAAAAAAACCGGATCGCACAATCTCTATTCACTTTCCTCTTCCTCTTGATCTTTCTTTGCTAGCTCCTTCCTCTCGTTACCGTTTCTATATCATCGCTCAAAAACAGCTCTCCCCGCTCTCCTCCCCTAATATACTGCTTTCGCTCGGCAATAATTAATAATAATTATAGTAATAGTAGTAGTCGTAACGTGTAATGATAATCGTGTAATAACAATGATAATAAATCAATAATCGTATTTTTTGTTCTTTTTTTTTTATACATCAATCACACGTAGAAGCGACGAATTAGAGTAGTAGAAATAACTATTCCTTAAGTTTTAATTTTTTATGTTTATATTTATATTTATAATATAGTATCTGCAATATATTAAATCGTTTGTTTCTCTCTCTTTTCTCTCTGCCTCATCAATATCATCATCGTCATCCGCTTCCTCTTCATCCTCTTCCCACTTAAGATTCCTCTTCGTTCTTCATTCTCGTCGTTCTGCTATCTGGTATCAATATACATACGCGGTATGTTGCGGAGCGCGCGCGCACGTGGACACGCGTAACTCGAGCGTGTTCGATCACAAGAACCCAATCGATCGATTCAAAACTAAATCGTGAACGACGCTGAAAGATTGTTTTATTAAAGGAGAAAAAGAAAGAAAAGAATTCAAGTTGACTCTCGATCGTTACAACAGAAAACGAAAAAAGGAAGTATCTTGCTAATGTTGACATTACTAACGCACTCACTCTTGCTCTCTTTCTCTCTCTCTCTCTCGATTCATACTCAACCAATATAATATTCGTACGATGTGATATTAAATAAATAATTCGTACAAAATATCGGATAAAATGGAAGAAAATCAAGGGAGGCAAGGTTCGTGTCGACTTCACAAAGAACCGTGTCCAACAGACGATCTTCCAAGACGCTGATGTTTTACAACGCGCGTCCGCACGCGTGCACGCCCATGTACATGTTATAACATGTTATATATGTATATGTATATTATATAACAAGATGGCAAAAATGTTCCTTCGATATTTTCTGTTTTTCTTTTTTTGTTCTCTCCCGCGGTTTGGAGATTCCCTCTCGAAATTCTCTATTTAT